GTAACTATGTATTTTAAATCACAGTCTTCAGTTGGAAGACTAGCAGGAGTAAATGCTTTAACACAGGTAAATCAGTCTTGAAAAGTTAGCATTTGTTAAAAATGATGACAAATGAAATGTGAACTTTCTCTCTACACCTACAGCATGTGGTAATGGTCCTTTCCAGTTCAGTGAGAGCTGCAAGTGTGTTGTGAGGCAGAATTTTGGGCAAAAGCTACGAAGTCATTCACTGGACAACTTTGTGGAATTAAGTGCTTCTCTTTAGGTATAAAGAATTTTCTTACCACTGAGGTAAGTAAAGCACTGAGCTGTCTACAGAGGTAGCCAAATTTTCATTAGCAGTAAGAGATGTACAAAGGAGACCGACAGGACAGTGCAGTGGATGACGTCACTTGAATTAAGGGTTTAGCTTAAATGACCTGAGATATCTTTCCCACCTTTATTACCCCTGCTTCTTTAATAGAAGCATATGCAGTGAGCTATAATAAACTTTTAATGACTTCCAAATCAATTTAAACCAATTATAATAAGTATTATATACAATAATTATATTTCCTATCTTCCTACCAAGCTAAAAAATATGTATTAGAACTAACTGCATGTGGTGGGGCAAGAGGGGAAGAAAGCAAGCAAACCCATCATGTAATATGCCCTAACACTAAGATTAGGGACTGCAGGAAGGTCTCATGACACATAAAAGCTGCAGATGAGTTAGATCTGTAATTCTTAGGTTTTTTGTATTATATCTTACTATTTTCTATTTTTTTGCATCTTGTTACAAAAACCAGAAAAGATTTCTTTTTTTCAAAGAATATAAATTCAATAAATTTTATGTTAAAGCAGTAAATCACTCTAACTGGAGTTGTGATCATCAAAGTGGTAATTCACTGCCTTAAGGGAATCTCTAAAAAAAGATGCATTACAAATATTACAGTTACTTCAGGATACAAGGAGTTGACACCTACTAAGTGCAATGAGTTAATTGAGACTCTGTTATGAAGTTGTTACCACTTCTAGTTCCCATAGGTCTCCAGATATTAGATGTAGATACGCTTATGAAACTTCTTTGAGGAGAGAGGAAAGATAGCATTCAAGACAGAAAAAAGAATTTTGGGGCAATTTTACCATTCATCTATTTGAAGCAGCCCCCAAGTCTAGAGTATTGGGAGTAGTATGAGCAGAAATTTCAGGAAGACCAATAGTAGGCATGGCTTGAATTAAATTTGTCACATAGGTGCCATTACTGTATACAAATCCCTAACTCTATAATGTCTCGCACAGGTATATAGTACTCTCTATTATCTACAAAAACTGATGCCAGGGAAAATGTTCAAAGTTAAGTCCTCAGCTAAGTAATTTGCTGAATTTTATTCTGAGGGCTTGATATAATATGAATTCCTAAAATAATCTGGACCTGACAGATACCTCTCAGAAAATTTTTGTGATCCCATGGCAGCTTAAATGAAAAGATTTAATAAACAAGAAACATTGGTACCGTCAAACAGGTCTGAGTAGCCTCTAGGGATATCATGCAGAACAGCTGCTGATGATTCTATTTTGCTGGTGACCACTGTGTTCATGTAACTGCCTGTTCCAAACGATAGCTGAAATCATGTATTTGTAGTTTAAAATACAATTATTTGTGCATGGTACTTCGTGTAAAGATATTGTCTACATCTATCAGCCAAAGAGGAGGCTGGTAGCCTCAACATACACTCCGTTAAAATGTGTAATACATTTAAATGAAAATATTGAACCTTTCACATTGCAAACCTCTTCAGACTCAATTTGTTTGCTATTACAGAGAATTTCTTGTTGTACTAGATCTTAGTAGTGACACTACCAATATATACCTAAAATACTTGCCATTTCTCAGGTTCTTACTCTGCTTTGGACACATCAATGATCTGTTGAAGTAAAAAAATACTGATTCAAGCTGACAATTTTTAAGTAGAGTTACTGCATAGATACTTAACCTACTAGCATTATCATCCTATCACACTGCCATTATCACCATGATCAAGAAGGTTACATTCCAGAAATACAATTATATTGTTGCCAAGAATGTTACATTACTTCGCTTAGTGATAACGCAAACTACAGTAGAACTACCCTTGAGTGACAAGATGGTTTGGGGGAAGATTAATGTTCTCCTTGCAAAACTTTTCAAGGAAATTCCCGTCTGTGGGGACAAACAGGTTTGCTCTATGTAAAATCTTAGGAAAATACATTTATAATAAATAAGAAACCAGATTTCAATAATACTAAACAGACGTTAAAGGTCTTTTGCCTTTTTTAAGAAGATTTTTTATGTATGATTGAAGTTTATACAACACTCCAGAAAAGCCATCATGTGTTAGACTGAAAAATAAAATCAGAAGCATTTTCTGTCATATAGGTATACATGAAAAAACGGGAACGTTAATGTCTTAGAAAGTGTATGTCCAGCTTTGTACCGTTACTCATTTAACAAAGCAGAAAATAAGATACTGTACTGTAAACAAAAAGCTACAGTAAAAGGACATTTTGAAATTTACACAAGTTTGAGTTCATAAACATTTTGGTTGCTCCATAACAGTTTTCATATAAAATGAATAAAAAACCCTTGGACAGCTTTCATCACTCTTGACTACTTTTCACTTAAATGCACACAGACATACTTTATATAGCAATATACTGATGTACTGTAACATGGATATTAAACTATGATTACTGCTTTTTAACTGAGATGTGTATTATCCAATCAATATTATCTGTAATTGAAATACTCATACATTATGTGTTCCCATCATGTTGTTAAGTATAAAAACATGAAAATATAACTTTACATTATTTCAGTTATATACATCAGTTCAGGCTTGACAAAGATTTTTTTTTTTTTTTACGCTACAATTTTTAGAGGAATAAGCCCAGAGGTACAATAAATAGCTTTCCACTGTATACAGTAATGCAATTCTACTTTTTCAAAAAGTTTAGATTACCATGTGAATATTATTTTAGTTTGGTCATTCTAGCATTGAACATTAAAAATCAGAATGCATCCCCCAACATTCCTGATGAGGAGTAATGCACAGAACACCTATGGATTACAGATGTGTCAAGAGATGGTTTAGTTTAATTAGGGGGAACTTACTGGTAAGTTTGACATTGAAAACACTGTATATACCCCTTTCGTTGACCACGCTGAGAGTATACACTGTGTTCACGTGCTTGCAGAAACAGGCTCAGAGCTTGTACCACAAGAAGGGATTTTAAGTTTCTGACAAATGCTCTGTCTTTCCAACATTCAGTAAACGTTTTACTTAAGCCTAAGAAATGGATTCCAACTAAAACTGCAACTCATATTTCAAATTGTATTTAAGTCCAAAATAAACTAGAGATTTAATGATACTGCATGAAGCAATGTATCCACAATGCAGAAAAATGTAAGCTTTTCAACCAAAGGTACAGAATTTTATCTACAGGGAAAGCTAGAGAAACATGATGTTGCTTTGATTTGCATTAGCATTTAGATTAACGTTATTGCACCCCTCTTAGGATTCCTTTTTGCTTTGTAAGTAGAGTTATCATTTTTAAATACACATAATTAAAACGTTATGGTAACTTCAGATAGCAAACAATATTCATAATTATTAAGATTCAGGAAAGTTTTTATATTTTCATCAGTACAGACTTGCATCTAATTCGAGTTATTATCGATCTTCATTCAAAAAGACATTGCCAAGGTTTTAGGTTTTTTTTCATAACAAAGGACTTTACCAGCTACTCCTTATAATTACTTTTTAACAGTTTGAAAACTGCTTCCTTAAAGGAACAATTTGAGAACTGTGTTTGTTTCATACTTAATAAAAATATTTAGCAGTATTTTGCTGCTTGCTATTTATCAATTTTTACCGATAGTCTTCTCTCTCTGTACATGTATTTATGAATGCAATTGTACAAAAGCAGAGATAGAAGTGAACCAAATCTTTGGATCGTAAGTCCCTGCATGTCAGAGTTAAGAGGAGCTCCAAATCAGCACCTATCTGACTCCTCATGTGCTGGTATCAAGTACCACTCCAACCCAGAACAACCTTGATCTTCAGAGTTCAAAATGCGTATCTGAGCATCACAGCTTGGGCTCATCTGTAGAAAACACTGTTGAACAGATTCACGTGAGCTGGGGGTGGCGACACTGCCAAAAACTAAAACATTGACCCAACCTTGACAGTGTCCTTTTAGATTTCAGACTCTTCATAACCCAACTGTAGCTAGTAAAATTAATGGAACACTTGCAAATAAAACCATAGAAAAAAGTTTATTTCAAATGTCAAGCATTGACAAGTAATTTTATATTAACACCAAATGTTAAAGAATAGGATATACAGCAAAGTTTTAATAACAATATTGAATTACAAGATTTGAACCTTTTAATTATTATTTCTTCTCTTCTCAACATTACATATTTGGCTTGGAAAAATATGGAACTGATGCCTTAAGCCTTATTTTCATACTCCACTTCCCCGCAGTCTAGATTTCTTTTTTTCTTTTTTTTTTTCTTTTGTCATATTCAACCATTATGGAAGCAAATTTATTTAAAAGCCAGTTTTTGTTTGTGAAAATACCTAAAAATATTTTTTTCATTTTAAATGTTTTTTTTTTTTTTTCTTATAAAACATGTCACATCTTGATGCAATTGATGTCAAGTGTGCTTAAGTCAATATGAACCAAGAGACTAACAACGGTGGCTGCAGAAACTGGTGTGTTGCCTGTACAACGACTTCAGTTAATTACAGTACTTCCATGTTAGCTGTGCATGTCAGTCAAGCTTCATCTTGAACTTGTGTAGAAAATGGTGTTGTGTTTTGAACTAAGCATTCATTACAATCCAAGATGAACTCCACAAATATAAGAATTCTTGGCTGAAAGAAAAGTCTTCAAGATACTGGATGCCTCTCACCACTTTGACAATAAACGCACAAGAAAACCATTGTGTAAGGCACTCAAAAGGTTCTTATCAA